TTTTTAATAAATTGTTAATTATTAATTACATAAATTATTAATTAACTACTTTAAAAAATTAGTAATTTATTACTTTAATTAATTAATTAATTAATAATTAATTACTATAATTAATTAATTAATTAATTAATTAATTAAATTAATAAACTATTAATTAACTACTTTAAAAAATTAATAATTAGTTAATTTAATAAATTAATAATTTACTACTAAATAAATCAGTAATTAATTACTTTAATAAATTAATAATTACTCAATGTAATTAATAAATTCTTATTCAACTACTTTAATAAATTAATAATTAGTAAATTTAAGTAATAAATAAATAAAATTAACCATTTTAATTAATTAATTATGTGTTAATTTAATAATTTAATTAATAATTAACTACTTCAATAAATTAGTAATTAATTACTTCAATAAATTAATAATTAGTTAAATTAATTAATGATTCACTAATTGAGTTAAATTAATTAATAATTAACTAATTTAATCAATAAATTAATAATTAGGCAATCAATTAAAAATTCCTTTTCTAAAATTATCATCCAAAACATCAATTTTTTGGTAAATAAATGAACATAATTATTAGAATAATTATATATATATATTCAAATTTAATAGTGTCGGATCGAAAGCGATCGAACAAGAATCAATCAATTAATGATTGAATTTTGTCCGGATATTTATAAAAAAAAAGTGTGGTGGTGGTGCGTCGGTGGGGCTGGGCTCGAAAAAAGCATTGTTTTTTTTTGTAAAAATTTTTTTTTCTGGATGTAAGAATAGGAAATTGGGATTAAAGATATTTAAATTATCATCATCATCAGGGTGCTCTGACCCACAACACATGGACGTTAAATGAAATTTATCGTAATGGCGCATTGCATTCGTCGCCAGCTCTCACTGCCTTTCGATATCGCCTGCCCCCCGCACACGCACACATCACCGATTTTTTATATTGATTTATTATTAATATTATTCTTTTTTTTTTAATTTTCAAAATCATGAAAAATAACATTTAAAATATGAATCGCGTCTACTTTTTTTTTCTTTACTCATCTTTTTTTTTTCTTTAAATATTGTCGCAGTCCACAATCGCTCGACTCACGCATCCATGTGCTACAGGTCAGTACAGGCCAGTACTATATACAGCTATCGCAGTAAAAAAAATAATTTTTTTTTTTTTTTTTGAAAAATAGAACTATAACATCTACAAAAATCGTCAGAAAAATAAAACAGTATTCATTTTACTTTTTGGCAATTGTTTCTTTTTTTTGCAATTTACTCTTAATTCTTTGTTACAAATCACTTCTCTCGTGAGATTCGTTCATGACTTGAGTTCATGACTCGTAAAAAATTTTTTTTTTAATAATTTGAATAAAAAGAAAATTCGAATAAAATTTTGAATAATTTGAGTTTGAATAAAATAAATTTTTTTATTCAAATTCAATAATATTTGATTAAAAAAATTATTGAATTTGAATAAAAAAAAAAATTTGTTGGGCTATTCTTTGAAGTCTTGCTTTTGTTTGTCTGTATAATCAGTTAATTTATTAATTTATTAAAAATTTGTTATAAAAATTTTTTTATTATAAATAAACTAACAATATTAATATATAAAATTTATATATTAATAACTGTAGTTTATATATTTTTTCTTATCTAATTTTTTCTAATTTATATAATTTTTGTTTATACAATCAGTTTTATAGAAAAAAAAAATCGAGTCACACAAAATGAAACACAATGAGAAGAGATTTGCAAAATGAGAATTTTTTCCTATAGAAAAATTGCTAGTGCGTTGATTTAAAGCAGATAGTTATATATAAATATTCTATTAGCCAGCACCCTGTGGGTTTTTTTTTTGACAAATAAAAATGAAAACTCAGTAGTCTCAGTGTAACAGGATTACATTTATTGTCTCGATCTCCCTTTTTGCGTGTAGGCATATATTTGTTATCAAGTTCACCAGGTGTAATATATTTTACAACGTGGGAGTATCCAAGTAAAATGATGGTTTTTTTTCTCAAAAAGGTACCAAGGCGCGTTAAAATAATATGTTTATATATAATATTTATTTATTTATATATATATAGGCGTTAGGCGCATTATCAAAGAATTATTATTATTCAATAATTAATAATCTTCTTAAATAAAAAGCAGAACACAAGATTTTTTTTTGTTTTGTTTCCTTTCATATTCTATTTTCTTGGTACTCTTGACAATAATTTTGAACGATATTTCTTAATCTAGCGAGTACTTTCGTCTTACTTTCTGACTTTAACATATATCATCAGTATAATCAACATTATCATCATTATCATCATAATTAGCATAATCATCGTTCTCTCTCTCTCTCACTCTCTCTCTCTCTTTTTTGTTTGTTTTTATTTTTTTTTTTTTATTCAACACTAATAAATTGAGCACGAACCTTGGAACCTAAGCGTACCTTTCACGTCGAGTATATTAAGTCAACACGTTTAAGTTTTTTCTTCTTCTTCTTCTTTCTTCACTTCTCTAGAGGAAAAGTGCGCAAACCAGAGAATAAAAAATATTTACGACTCGATTTCTTTTAGAAAAAAAAATCAATTTTTTTTTATTATTTATTGATTTATTAATTTAAACAAAAAAAATGTCAGTTATACTTCAATTACATTTTAATGCAATTAAATTTCAATTTCAATTATACAATGAATTGAAATTGAAAATAATTGTAATAAAATTTAAAGAAAAAATTGAAAGTATTTACAATTAAATTTAAACAAGACATTAAAAATAATTGCAATTAAAATTACTTAACCAATAGAATTTGAAATTAATTGCAATTGCAATTTAATAAAAATTGTAATTAATTGCAACAAAATTTAATCAAAAAATTGAAATTAATTACAATACTTTTTTTTTGCAACTTTTGCAATTGCAAAAAAATTTGTAAATTCATTATTAAAATCAATTAAATTAAAAAATATAAAATTTTTGTTTTGATTTGTTTAAAATTCGATTTGAAATAATTGTCAAATAAGAATCAAAATCAAAACTTCTGTTTGATAGGCAGGCGCACTTTTCTCGTAAGTCAATTTTTTTTTTTTGTTACATAAGTTTATTAATAATTATTTTTTAGTATTCGGATTAAAGTAACTAATAGCAGCACAGCATAGTCCGGTACTGACCTATAACCACCTGCGGACGGATAAATTTCCATATATCCTCTAATTCCTCTTTTTCCATTTCCTTCCAAAAATCAGAAAAAAAAATTAAAAAAAAAAAAATCCTGCTATAAACCTCCTCTCTCTTTTCGTCTTACACTCATTCACTTAGGTTCAGTACTCACACTGTCTACGATGTTTTTATTCATATAAAAATAGTAATGTTTCTTTACATAGCATTCCTCTTGCTTTGTCAATTGAACGGTATTACCTCGGGCTTTTTTCCTATTTATTTTTTTTCTCTCTTATTTGCTTCGCAAACATTATCAACTCATCATTTTATTGACGGAATTCGGATTTTATGCAATTCATTAATATTTAGCAGAAAACGCGAAGAAATCAACATTTCGAGAGTAGCATTTTGACAAAAATGGTAATATTTTGACAAAACTGTTTTTTTTTTCAAAAATAATATTTTTACAAAAAAATGTTTTTGCAAAAATAATATTTTTACAAAAATATTTTTGCAAAAATAATATTTTTACAAAACTATTTTTGCAAAAATAATATTTTTGACAAAAATGATAATATTTTGTCAATTTAAAAAAAAACTATTACATTTTTATTGTTCAAAATTTAAATCTATTCAACTAGATCTTGTAATCGAGATTAAATAGTTATATTTGAGTATCAACTGATCACAGATATTTTGCCTTTGTTTTAAAGTACAAGTTTTGCAAATTACAAAAAATCCCCCCCTGAGAAATATTTTTTTTAATTACCATCTCCATTAATATTGATCATAAATTTTTACAATAAAAAATCAATATATTTATCAACATTAACATTTTCATTAACGTCCCAATACTGAGACAGTATAAATAAATTAATTTTCCATTCAAAAATTCTTTTCAAATTAAATATTAATATTAAGTATTAATTAATATTATTATTTATTAATTTGATTAATTATTAATTTAATTATTTAATTAATATTTATTAAATACTTTCTGTCAATATTAAATGCATAATGTCAATTACTTCACGAATATCAATAGAAAAATTGACGAGCGCTTTATTTACAATCTTTCAATTTTCCCTGTACTTAAAAAATATGTACAAAAAAAATTACAAAAACAAAAAAGAAAACAAACCGAATTCAAATTGAGCAATTTGTCGTTATTTTTTCATGTATTGCGAAGCAAGTAATTTACTATAAATGTCGATGCATTCGAAAACTTTGCACTCTTTTCTTTTTTTTCTTCTTCTTTTTTCTTTATTAATAAGGGAGAGTGAATTATGAGCAAACAGATTGGAGGGACTCTGTCTTGAATTCAACCGGATTTATCGTTTCATTCTAGAGTCGAGTTCATAAAAAAATTATTTAAGACTATAAAGAAACTTGATTTGAGCTTTTATTTCAGGTACGTGGAAGTTGAATTCGTTTTCTTTAAGATAAAAAAAAAAACAAACAGTTACATTTGTTTTTTTTTAAAAGGCAATAAAATGGACAAATGAATGAAATGTTGAATAATAGAAAAGAAAATGAAATTGATGAAAAAGTGAATAAAAGAACACGCAAAATGAAATTGAACAAAAAAAAATGCAAAAAATAAAATTTAATAAAAAAAAAATGCACCAAATGAAATTGAATAAACAAAATGAACTTAAATAAAAAAAAGTACAAAATTAAACTTAAATAAAAAAAGGTACAAAAATGAACTTAAATTAAAACAAAAAGGTACAAAATGAAATCGAAAAAATGAAATTGTACAAAAAAGTATAAAACGAAAGTGAATAAAAAATGCAGATTAAAAATAATTCCGTAATAAAACTAAGATATCTAGAAAAAAATAGTAACCTAGTCAAGAAAATAGTAGAATACTTAAAAACAATTGTTTTTTTGTTACTTTTCAAAGTAAATGATACCAAAGCTCGTTAGTCGTCGTCACGGTATTCTCTCATAACTCTAGAACGAAAGAATAATCCTAACGTGACTTGAAAAGCAAGCTATAGTATCGCTTCTTTTTTTTAAACTACAAAAAAAAGGAAGTAAAAAAATCGATTAAATATTATACGACCACATCACAGTAGCAGACAGTCACGAGTAACAGCCTTTCGTTCTCCAGGCACCTTCGCTTAAAAGCTAAGTCTCAAATAAATATAAATAAAAAAAAAATAAAAATACCGAACTAAAGGAGATAACTTATAGAAAAAAACGACATAAATCTAAAAATAATAATAATTAGAAACAACCATTGTATAAAAAAATTAATCCTAATTTGCAACCTTGAGAGTATTAGTGAAGCATATGTATATATATTATAAATTGTGTATGGCGATAGTGGCAATTAAGTAACTTTTTTTTCCTCTTGTATATCAATTAATAGATTCTTAAGTGCTAGGCCTATTTCAATTATTATTGGGTGCAACTGACAACAAATGCTTAATGAGATGTGATCAACACGTTAAATTTTGCTTTTCTTTTTTTTTAATCAGATTTTGTTCTGATTTTCTTTTTTTTTTTGTTGCACAAAACAAGTGGGAGGGTGCCTCGACAACCGTTATTTTTTTTGTGCAAATCTACGTACGTAAATGTGCTCGTTAGCGATTCGCATGATCCTCCGCATTATGCGAGATTAACCAGGAAGATGCAGGCCAGGACGAATTGTTTAAAAAAACTGTCGAAAATAGAGAACATGCATTTATGCGATTACTTTCAGATATAACAAACAAGCAACCACGCTCACTGAACACACAAACTCTGCGAATCAATATTCAATTATCAGGAACAAACCTAAATTTCCACCCCTACATTCCATTCTTTTCTTTTTCTTTAGAAAATAAATTTTTTTTTTACAAAAAGAAAATAATTTTTCTCTGTCATTTCAAATCGACGATTCTCGAAGAAATTGTTCACGAATAAATTATCTTTACACGTGAAATTAATTTTTCCCAAATATATTCTATTAATTTTTTTAATTTGTTAATTTATCAAATTACTTATTTGTCAATTTACTCATTTATTTATCAATTTCTTTATTTATTCAATCAATAATTTGAAATCAAAAATTAAATTGAAAAATTCAAAAGAAAGTGTATCTTAATTTCAAGTGTTGATAAATTACTCGTATTACAATATTTTGTTGATAAACAATTTTTAGAGAATCAGTGTTAAGAAAAAAATTTGTCACTTTATCAAAAAAAAAAGTCGCAAATTTACTGCGAAAAATTTGTAGAAAAATCAAAAAGTCGAAATGAAAGACAAATTAAAATTGAACTTTTTTCACAATTCACCTGCAAACAACAATCTCGTTTTGTAGAAAAAGAGAATTGAAAAGATTCCAAAAAACGCATCAACTTTCTTGAAAATCTTTTCCAAAAAACAGAGAAAAATTGACGCAAGTGAAATTAATGAATTTCGCAAATTCGTAAATATCAATTCTTAAAATTAAAATCTTAACGGACAAAGTCACATTCTCGCATAACCCACACCAAAAAATCATTGATAAAAATCAATCATTATTTTGTCAAAAGAAAACATTGTATAAATATATATTAATTGGGCCAAAAAGCTTTCTTTTATATGAACTCGAAAATTCATTTACAATTTTTTTTTTTTTGCCATTTTTTGCTAATATTATTTATTTTCTTTTTTTGAAGTCGAAAAACAAAATGTATTCAAAAAATGAAGTATAACAAATTTTTCTTTTCTTTCGTTCAATTCCACATTTTCTCTTTTGCATACCATAAAAAAGTAGATTGTTGGCGATTATTATTTCTTTCTTTTTTTTTTCTTTTCAAAAAAAAAAGGCGACGCAACTCTTTAGACAAATTCATCAAAAAACCTGCTGTTACTCACGTTTTCTCCGGGACCGCCAAAACCACCAAGATTGTAATCACCCATTCCACTGCCACTGTCTTCTCGCGGTGTTCCGGGTCCACCATTCGCAGGACTATTTTTCATACCGTCAAGACCGTCGCCATTCATTACTGGACCCATTGTATTGGGTCCCATTGGACCCATTGGTCCACCTTCTGGGCCTCCACTCATTGGGAAATCCTTGAGAGAAGAAAAAGTAGATTAATAATTTGTATTTGAGGAAAAATGATTTAATTTCAATTTTTTTTTAGGCAAATAGTGTACAAATAGTGTTTAATGGAAATTTTGGAGGGAAAAAATTTTCTTTGGTAAATAAAATTCTAAAGCAGGATTGCCACATGGACAAAAATTTAATTTTGTTTTTCCCTGATTTTCAGGCGGATTTTTGACTTTTTTTCCTAATTTTCAAAAACAGAATTTTTGCTTTTTCCCTGATCCTAAAATGAATATTTTGATTCACTCTAAAAATTACTAGATAGACAAAAAAATGTTTCTAATATATTTATTAGGAAATATTTTCAATTAAAATTAATTAAATTTCTAAAGTAAAATTATTCGAAATATTAAATTTTTTTTCAATTAATATTTTTAATCATTATTTTTCAATAGGAATTGAGATTTTTGAAAATTGTAAATTTAAAACCTTCTAAAATCGAATCGCTGTATTCAGGATTTTTGATAAAAATTGATATAATTTTTTTTTAACTTTTGTAAATTTAAATTTGAAACAATTTAATTCTTGCATAGAATTTTATTAAAATTTCATAAAACAATTAAATTCTTTACTAGGAATTTAATTAGAATTACATTAAAGGTGATTGAATTCTTTACAAAAAATTTTATCATAAAAATTTTGAAAATAAATCAATTTTTATGGAAGAATTTTATTAAAATTTTTTTTAAATATCTGCAATATTTCGAAAAATATTCTATTACAATTTTTAAGAATAATCGAATTCTTTTCAGAAATTTAATTAAAATTGTATTGAAAATAATTGAATTCCTCCGAAGAATTTTATTCCTTATAAAAATAATTGAATCTGTCGAAGAATTTTTAAAAAATTTTAAAAATGAAAAAAATTGTTTAGAGGAATTTAATTAAAATTGAATTGAATATAATTAAATTCTCGCAAAAAATTTATTAAAATTTTTGATATAATTAGATAAAATTGAATTCTCGCAAAATAAATTTAACAAAATTTTTGATATAATTGAACTGTTTTAAAGATTTTTTCAAATTTTAGAAAATATTTGAATTCTTAAGCCGAATCCCGAATTAAAAACAAAGTTTAAATAATTTAATTATTTCGAGAAGTTTTATTAAAATTATATTGAAAATAATGAAAATTGTTTCAAGGAATGTGATTAAAATTGAATTTTTTTAAAGATATTAAAATTCTTTACCATAATTGAATTTTTTCGAAAAAATTTCATTGCAATTTTCAAATATTATCAAATTTAAGGAATTTTATTTAAACTGTATTAAAAATCATTAAATTCCAGCGAAGAATTTTACTATTTAATAAAAATTAAATTCTCCCAAAGAAATTTATTGCAATTTTTGAAATAATTGAATGGTTTTAAAGATTTTTTCAAATTTTTGGAAAATAATTAAAAAATCCAAGACTTTTATAAAAAATTTTAAAGTAATTCAATTTTTTCTTCGAATTTTATTAAAGATTTTTGAGATAAATCAATTTCTGACAAGATTTAATTATTATTTATGAAGAATTTTATAAAAAAATTTTGAAAATAAATAAAAATAATTAGTTAATGAGAAAATTCTTTTAATACTTTTTTCAGTAGTTCTGAAAAAATTTCATCACTTTCCCCTGATTGCCCCACTAATTTTCCTTCCTCTGCCTTTTTTCTGAATTTCCACAGTTTTCCTGATCAGTGGCAATCCTGCAAAGTGTTTTGAAAAATTAACTTCAGAATAAAATTATTTCTTACCCCGGGCATATTTCCTCCAGGTACAGGTTTCATCATCGTGTACATATTTTCTCCTCCACTATTACTGCTGTCTTGTGGACTTGGCATTATTGGCGTTCCTGGACCTGGAGGTCCACTCGAACCTGGTGGTCCACCATAATTGCCCGGCGATGATGAAGAATAATTCATCGGCTAAAGAAAATTGACAGTTCATTATTTATTCTTTAAGAAAATTATTCCTTATTGAAAATTTATGAAATGTACATTAATTTATCAATTCAGGCTATAATTTTAATTAATTAATTTACAAACATTAATTTACAAGAGAATACAAAAAAAATTACAAACAAAAATAATTAAAAAAGAACTATTACCAAAAAAAATAATAAAAAAATTGTAAAGTAGAATAATTCCATTAATTTTTTTAACTCTAAATTACAGAATTGAATTATTCGACAACGACATTGATGATGTTCAAAATCTTTATAATAAACTCTTTAGAAGAACGAATATTTTTCCACTTAAATTTAAAAAATACTTTTTATTACAAAATTTTTTAATTTTACAAATTAAAATTCAAAATTCAAAATTGATCGACAAATTAATGAAGATAAAATTGTGAACAAAAAATATTATTTTCGGCGTGAAAAAATACTTTTTATTCTACATTTTTTAATTATATTACAAATTAAAATCGAATATTAAAACTTGATCGACAAATTAAAAAAGAAAAAATTATAAACAAAATAAATATGCCGAAAATAATTTCGGCGTAAAAAAAATACTTTTTATTCTAAATTTTCGAATTATATTATACAACGAATACTAAAACTTGATCGACTAATTAAAAAGGCATAAATTATGAACAAAAAAATATTATTGTTTTATCATAATTTTTTAAGATTCAATTAGCTTCGAACAAAGTGAATTAAAATTTTTTCAAATTTACTTTTTTATACTTATTAAAATTTTGGAGAAATCATTTATAATTAAACTTCATCAAAAATTTGATTTTTTTTATATATTTTTAGGAAACTTAATTATTTTTAAAAGATTTTATCAAATTTAAACTATTTTTCAAAGATTTTACCAAATTTCAAATATTTTTTTAAAGATTTTATTAAACTTCAATTATTTTTCAAAGATTTTATCAAATTTCAATTATTTTTAAAAGATTTTGCCAAATTTCAATTATTTTTCAAAGATTTGCCAAATTTCAATATTCTAACTTAATATCTTTTAAAAATAAAAATGGACAGGTTCAATTATTATAAAAAATTGAATTTTTATAAATAAATAATTGAATTCTCGAAGAACTTTCAGAAAATTATTAAAAATTAATATAAATAATTGATTCAAAGATGAAGTTTAGTTAAAAATTTTAGAAAATAATTAAAGTTTGGAAGGTTTGTAGTTGTAATTTTTAGAAATTATTAAACTTCAGAAGGTGAAATTTTTTGAATTTTATCTCCCATGTTTAAATTTAATTATTTATTTATATTTATTTTAATTATTTATTTATTCCCGTGATTAAGCTAAGAAGTATTTAAATATTTATTTATCAAAATTATTCAAGTTTTGATTAAATAAATTTAAAAATCAGTGAAGAATCAGGGAAATACAAAATAAACTTTTTGTGACAACACTGAAATAAATAAACGACTTTTTTTCTATTTTTAATCAACTATAGTGACTTTTTTCTCGTTAAAGTCGATCCAAGGCCTGAATCGTTGATCATAAACGTGAACATCACCAAAGTTTTGATTTTTAAAAACAAAAAAATTTTTTTTCATTGACTGTGATTTAAGGGAGATAAAAATGTACCGTGGATGTATTAGGTTGCCATTGAGGTCGTCCTCCTGGTCCAGCCATGCTCATGGGTGGCATTCCTGGTCCTCCGGGACCTCCTGGACCTAAACTACTATTGGGGGGTGGACCTCTCATTCCTTGGCCGTAACTTCCTGGACCCATTGGTCCCATCGCAGGTCCTCTTGGTGGTGGATTCATTCTCGGTGTCATGTGATTCATACCCGGTGGTCCTACATACAAAATATTTTATTAATAAAAATAATAATCAAAACCACATTTAATATCTTGCCAACTATATAATTGTTTTTTTGTGGTTGCGTTTTTTTTTCTTTTACACTAAACTAACAAAGTTTGCTAATCACTATAATAATAATTTCTACATGTGGCAAAAGATGATCCGTTTAAAAAAAAAAACATTTATTTTTTCGAAAATGATTCAATGCAGCAAAGAAAAAAAAATCCAAAATCCGTGTGATTCAATGCAAAAAATTATTCCAAAATTTTCTTTGAAGTTGTGAAAGTAATTTATTTCCAATTATGAAATTTCTTTGAAATTATGAAGTGGTTTCTCTCAAAATATGAAATAATTTCTTTCAGATTATGAATGAATGAATGAATAAATTTTAGATAATAATTTAATGGTTTTTTATTTCGAGAAGCAAAGTAAGAATCATTCTTTGCCAAAGCATAGACGCAAGCAAAATGGCTAACATGCTAGATTAGCGATAAATTAATTTTCTTTTTACAAAAATAAATAAGAACAGCACAAAGCTTGTACTAAAGATTGGTACACAAAAATGCAATGAACTTATAAGCGTTTTGTAATTTTTCTTTCGTAGCAATAACAATTGAATATTAATCTGTTTCTTTTACTAAAAAAAATTATTTTTACTTTTTTTTTTACTATTTTTACTAATTTTAGTATTTCACTATTTTTATTGTTTTTCTTCATTAAGTCGACAAATTCGTTTAAATTACTCCATTATAAATATCAAATTAATTTTTTAATTATTAATTAAAAGTGAATCATCGAAAATTTAGAAATTCATTAGTATTTACCAATGAATAATTTCTTTTTTTTCTTAGTAAAAAATTTTAAAAATTAATTTACTACCGGGGCAATTAATTTTTAAGTAAATTCAAACAATTAAAGGGATTCGAGTAAATAATTATTATAAATACTCGGTTTTAAAAAATAGTATTGAAAAAATGAAAAAAATTGAAAATTAAAAGAAATTCGATTAATTACGAGTGTTTAAAAAATTACAAATATTCGACTGATTAGCAGAGTTCAAAAAATTAATAGTCGATTAAATAAAATTTAATTAGAAGTTAATTACAAATTCGGAAAATTTGCACGTTTTCGATTAGTTACAAAAATTTTTGTTTGTTATACAACAAATGACAAGTATTCAATTAATTACGTATCAACTTTAAGTCGACAATTGAAAATAATTATTTTATTTACTTATTCAATTAATTTATTTATTCAGTAGTTAATTAAATTGATTCGAATTTAATTTATTTCAAGTTAATTTATTTTAATTGAATTAATTTTATTCAAATGAAAATTATTCGAATGTAATTTATTCGAATTTAATTTATTCGAATTAAATTTATTTGACTTAAACATATTTCAATTTAGTTCATTTTATGAATAAAATATTTGAAAACAATTTCATAATAAAATTTTCTTTCTCAATAAAAATTCTTCTCTTTACAAAAAGGCGTGATTATTAAAATGACAAAAGCCAAATTATTCTACGAATTAATAATGAAAAAAAGCAATTTGTTTATTGATTTTGTGTACAATGAGTCTGCGAGACGAAAATAAAAGAACAATTGCAAATATTTACAATTGTTTTCTAAAACACCTTGCCAAGGAAGTTAAAGAAAATAAAGGGGGGAAAAACTGATGGAAGAGTAAGAGTGCGGATGTTGGATTGTGCAACGAACCTGCTGCATGACTTATTGGAAAGAACCTTTTTTTAAAAGCACTGATTCCAGAAAAAAATACGAAAAAAACTAAGTAATGAATTTTGATGAAAAAAACATTTTTTTCAATTTCAAAATAAGAATGTAAATACACCTAAAGGCAAAAAAATGTAAAAATAAAAATATTTCCTTTGTGGATAAATTTCAAAATAAATTATTTAAAATGCGACAGTCTCAATCGAAAATGCTAAAAATTAAAAATCGAAAATCAAATATAAAAAATGTGAGGAGTGTTTCATTTTAATTTTGAAAATTGAAAATCAAAAAACAAAAAATAGAAAATAAAACTATCGTCAGGAGTGTTTTTATATTTTATTTCTGAAAATTAAAAAGCAAAAATAAAAAATATAAATATTATTCTAAGGAGTATTTCTATTTTTTTAATTTTTTTAAATTTAAAAAGTAAAAACAAAAAAAAACTATTGTCAGGAGTGTTATTACTTTTTTTATTCTTGAAAATTAAAAATCAAAAATAAAAACGATTTTAAGGTGCAATTTTGATATTTTCGATTTTTAATTTTCATCAGGAACAACGAGATAAAAATAAAAAATATAAAAACATTGTAAGGAATAATTTTTTTAATTTTTAGCAGAGAAAAAAATTTGAGACACTTTTTTTCTTCATATAAATGCAAAAAATAAAAAAAAAGAAGATAAAATTAAATAATTATAAAATCGTCATGCCGGATGCTGAATATTATTTTTCGGACGAGGAAAACATATATACAAACAAAAATATATATATATATATATGCGGTAAGACAAAAAGCTAGTGCGAAATTCTAAAAAAGGAGAAATAAAAATAATAATAAATTAGAGGCAATAGAGGATAGAAAAATTAAGACAATATATATAGAGGCCTGTTCTAAAGTCATGTCAGTGTGATTCGATTGCTGGGTTGCTTCCTACCTTGCCACCCTACAAACTCTCCAGCTTCGCCTGAGGAACACAAGAGCACACATTAGTACTGCAGGTAGGTAAGGTCAGATCGATGGCAGTAAAGTCTAGTTATTTTGCAGTGGCATAAGAAAATCTTTCTGAAATACTTTCAGTAGCAAAAAAAACATTATTCTCCATAATCCTTCACAAGCCGCATTGTCAATTATTTTTTTTACATCTTTTTTTCCCGAAAATTTTTTTTTTTCTAATCATCTCTCCAAAAGATTTTTTTTTGTTTTGAAAAAATATATATTTTCTTTATTTAAATATCTATTTTTTAAAATAAATTCTTTTGAAAATATATATTTTTTAATAAAAATAGCTTTTTTTTTGAAAAAATATATTTTTTCCAAAGTAGCTTTCTTTAAAAAAAATATAGTTTTTATTTAAGTATATTTTTTCCAAAATAGCTTCTTTTAAAAAATATATTTTTTATTTAAAATATTTAGTTAAATATTTAAATAAATATTAAAATAGCTTCTTTAAAAAAAATATTCTATGAAAATAATTTCTTTTCTAAATAAATATATATTTCTTTTCAAATGCAAATTTATTTTTTCTATTTACTACTATTTTCATTTATTTATTATTTAATAACACCTGGTGAAGGATTCATAGTCGGTATAATTACTGTATAAAATTAATTAGTAGCATACATTCTTTTTCCATAATTTAATACGTGGAAATATCAGAGGTTTGATTAAAGTGCGATAATTAATTTTTCTCTCTCAAGCGATATTAAAGTGGTAAAAAAAGCTAAATTCTGCACCAAAAGTGGTGCAATTTATCTAGAATTCTATTTAATTTACAAAAATTACTCTCTGGGATTTTTTTCTTCAAAAAATCTTCAAAATATTCCATTTTCAACTATATAAAGAAAAAGTCTGATATTTTCAGGATGGTCACATGTTTCAGTTTATCAATTTCCCTGACATTAAAATTATTTTCCCTGACAAAATTCTTTTCACAGGAAAATATGAAAGTTTACGGAAAATGAGTAAAATTTATGAAATTTAATAATTTCTAAAAATTATAATTATAACCCTTCCTAAATTCAATAATTTTCTCTAATTTCCAACTAAACTTCATCTCTAAATCAATTATTTTAAATAATTTTCAGAAAGTTGTTTGAGAATTAAATTATTTAAATATACAAAAATGCAATTTTTTATAATAATTGTAACTGTCCATGTTTTTTTCTCAAGTTTATTAAGGTATAATATTTTCAAAAAATAAAAATAATCAAATTTTTACAGAATTTTAATTATAAATATGACCATGATTTCTCCGAAATTTTATTAAGTCCAAAAAACTAAATTTTTATTTGCTTTATTCGAAGATAGTTAAATCTCAAAAAATTATGATGAAAAAATTCTAAGAATTAAGTAGTTTTTAAAAATGCCCGTAAATAAATAAATAAATAAATAAAGGTAAAAATATTTTAATGTAATTTTTCCAAAACAATATTGAATTTCTGTAATATTTAAAAAAAAACTAATTAATTTCTTGATGAATTTTAATTAAATATTTTGAACATGAGTTTTTTCTCTAAAATGATTCAAAAATAATTTTTGAAAGATTTATTTATAATTATTTTTCGCACTATAAAAATCGAAATGATTTACATTTAATATTAAAAAATATGATATTTTGTTGCAATATTTGGAAGAAAAATCGAGAAAGTTGCAATTTTCAAAAATAAGTGGAAAAAATCTTAATTTTCTAAATTTCCCTGACAGAAAATTTTTTTTCCTGACATTTCCCTGACTTTACTGACATGTGGCCTCCCTGATTTTTTTTCTCTCTCTCTCTCTAAATAATAAATTTGCTTCAATTAATCGTAACAATTGGATAAAATCATTTTCTTTTGTTAATGGAATTTTTTTTATTGCAAATTAAAAAAATTGCTTATTATTAAAAATTTGCAGTAAAAATCTGACATGAAGATTTTTGATAAAAATTGGTAATAACAATTTTTTACAAAAATTATTAATAGCAATTTTTTATCAATATTTGTAATAACAAATTTTTTATTCAAATTTATAGTATGAATTTTTGACAAAAATTTGTAATAACAATTTTTGAAAAAAATAAGTAATAGCAATTATTTTTTATCAATATTTGTAATAACAATTTTTGATACAAATTTATAATAAGAATTTTTAATAAAAATTTGTAATTTAACAGTTTTTGCCAAAAATTGGTAATAGCAATTTTTGGTTAATATTTGTAATAAAAATTTTTTTTCATAGAAATTTTCAGTTTTTTTAAAGTTTCAAAAAGTATTTTTGTTTTCTTTCTTGTATTTGAAATATTTAAATGAAAGTATATACCACTGTTTTTTCCACTAGACAATTTTTTTTTAAATCCAATCCACTCCATATCACAGCAATCCAAACCAATTATTTTAAATATTATACTCATTTATTGCTGTGAGCTTTCTCTTACGCATGCGTGTATGCCATTCTCCTTTCACAAAGTTCGTCAATGCCAAGAAAACGGGAAGTATCATCGCAAATACGAACGCTTACCTTGTCTTGTGGGATCCATACTGTTCGGCATCATTGGCTGTCCTGGTGGCTGAAATCATATTCACTTATTAATTAAAACTATCAAAATAAAAATTTATTTATTTATTTATTTAATCAAAAAATTAAATTATAAATTTTCAAAATATTTCATTTACATTTTTAATTTTTATTCTAATCAGTAATTATTTCAATAAATAAATAAATTATTTTAAAAATATTTCTCGTGGAAAAATATTTTGTTTATTTGAACGTTTCGAACTTGTGGAATTTGATAAATTAAATAAATTAACTAAATAAATTATATTTATTTATATTTTTATTTATTTTCGTATTTGAAAAAAATTTATAGAAGAAACAAAATTGGGAAAAAATAAATTAAATCTCTACATTAAAGGACATAAATTAAATAATTAACTGAATTGAGAATTTAATTGGTTTTATTAAATTTATTACTTGAATTATCAAATAAATAATAAACATTGATAAAAAAATTATTTAAAAATTAATAATTTAGATTTGAATGATAATAACGATAAAAAGAATAATTAATTAATTAAAAATTGATAAATGAAATAAATGATTCACTAAATAAATTTTAATTTAATTGTCGATAGAAAAATTAATAATTCAGATAAATAAAAAATATCGAACAAAATTTCTTACCCCATTAAATTCATTTCCCATTTGTGCCAAACGAACTCCTCCTGGTCTTGGTCCAGCTGGAAATCTTGGTCCCATGTACTGAAACGAAAGATAATTATTTAACAAAAAAAAATCTTCTTTTAACATTTTACTATTTTTTTTTGTAAAAGCTTGTGAAAATAATAAGCCTTGTTTGTTTAAAGTTTTATTTATTTTTTTCATTTTGTTAATAAAGCCACATAGTTAATGACAAAGATCAGACAGATTAGACATTGTAAGCATCAGACAAACACTAATATATAATAAATAATGAAATTTCCATATGGACACAAAAAGACAGTAATTTTTCCCTTTTTTCCCCCCAGAAAAAGACCCAATTTCTTTCCCCTCTCCAAAATTGACAAAATTATTTACAAAAAACAAAAATACCCAGGAATTTTCCAAACTCACACAGAAGAAAAAAAAACCGATTAATATTCATAATAGACAAAAAAAAAATTCGAATATAAATTGGGAATATAAAAAAGTGAGAAGATGCACGGGATTAATAAAATGCCAATCTCTAATAGTCTAATCTTACCTTATATAATTGTTGTTTTCTTCGTATTTAACATCAGTGTGAAAAAAATTAATTTCTCTTGTAAATTTTAAATATTAATTTTCTCAGCTTACCTTTACCATCGACCATAGATTAATATTATACACAACTGATTCGTGCCAAATGCATTACAAAATTTAAATATATAGAAAATAATGATAAAAATGAAATTTAGGTGTTTTTTTTTCTTAATTTAATTGTTTTTTTTTGGCTTTGTATTTATTTTTATCTATAGTGATTGATTCAGCACAAATCGGTTCAATTTTTAGGTCAATTCTTTTCAAAACGAAAATTTACTTTCTTCAATTATTTATACAGATTTTAGTTTTTCTAGAAATTTATTTTTCTAAACATTCATTATTTTTCTTTTTCTTCTTTTTAATCCAAGAAAATTTACTTTTTCACAAATTTATTATTTTTTTAAGCATAATATATAATGAACGTATAAATAATTCTAGCAACTTGATATTAGAAAATACTTATTTTAGTATACTTATTTAAATTACTCATTACAATTCTAATCCAAAAATAAATAAAATCTGTTCTGCATATTTCAATCTCGTTATTTGATTCAAATTTCTGACATCGATTTGGTGGACGAAATAATAAAAATTTTTGAACTTTTTTCATTTTTATATGGAATAACAATGATTTAAATTTTAAATTAAAATTATTTAAAAATATTTTTTTAGAATATTAGAATTAATAATATTAATTAATAAATCATTAAATTAAACAATACAAATATTATGATCAAATTATTATTATTATTATTAAATATTATATAAATAATTATAAGTTATTATTGTCGTAAAAATAATATTGCAATAATAAAATAAATACGAAATGAAGAGAAACACTTAAAATTTTTTGTTTTTCACCGACGTCAGTTATTTGAACCAAATGATTAGCGCAAAAAAAAATTGAAACCAATTTTTTTTAATGAGAAAAAGCCGAAGAAAAAAGCGAGATCGAATGAACGATTTAATGCAATCGATAGTGCGATGTGTAATGATTTATAGTTAAAAAAAATTATCAAGGTGTCTACTAATTTTATAATTATTCATAATAATATTTTTATTTTTTAATACTATTTAATTAAAGTTTTTTTTTAATTTTAATAATTTTTAATAGGTACTTAGTAGTAGTCTCTCATACTTTGTAATAAATTTGAATACTTTGCAATCATTTTCAATAATTAATCATATTTACAATAATTCCTCTGGCAAGTTTGAAATAAAATAATATAAAAAAAATCTTTGAAAAATTGGATAATAAAAATTATTTTAACAATAAACTAATAATATTAGTTATTAGCTTATTTTTTCAGGAATCACAATCAATTTTTTCATGTCCTATTAGGAAAAAAGGGAATTTTTATTTTTTTGAAAAAGAATTCAGATAAAAAAAGGGATTTTGGAATGGAAAAAATTCAAAAATTTACTATTTAAAATCGTTATTTTATAATTAACAAATTAACAAATTATTGTTTAAAACTTTAAATTTAATGATTAATTTACTAATTCTATAATTAACAACTTATTATTTTTTTAAACTTTAAATTTTATAATTAATTTCCTAATTTAATTATTAACAAATTATGGTTTAAAACTTTAAATTTTATAATTAATTTCCTAATTTAATTATTAACAAATTATTGTTTAAAACTTTACGTTTAATAATAAATTTACTAATTTAATAAATTAAAAATTACAATTATATTTTTAAATTCTAAAAATTTTACTATATCCGATGTAAATTACAGTAAAAATTAGTAAACTTTATTTTGAACTTGGTAAAATTTTCTCCAAAATAAGTAAAATTTAACTATTAAATTCTTATTTCCAGAATAATTTTTACTATTTCCGAAGAAAATTTCTTTTATAAAGATTAAAAATTCTTACTTTAGAAGTAAAATTTACTATGTAAATAATAATTTATAAATAACAAATTTTACTTCTCTGGAAGAAAATTTAAAAAATTAGTAAACAAAAATTAACTGCGAGAAAAGTAAAATTTGCCATTAAAAATCGTTACCTCCAGAGTCAATTTTATAACTCCGATGTAAATTAAAAAAAAAATAATAAAATACATATTTAAGTTAGTAAAATTTATTCTACAAATAATACAATTTGACAGAAATTCTAGTTTATAAACATTTATAGTTTAATAACTATAAACTTTATAAACTATAAAAATTTCTTTTTAAGTATGGTAAAAGTGGTTTTTTATTTGTTGCCCTGAATAAAAAAAATTCCAAGTTAAAAAATTCTGAGAAAATAATATAAAAGTATTATCAAATTACAAAAAAATTGAAAGGTCTCAAAAGTTTGCAAACAATTTTTTTCTTCAAAATAACTAAAAAAAATTTTAACTTACAAAAAAAGGCAATTTTTGGAAATTTTTTTTTTAAAGAAAAGAGAAAAGGGAGAATAAACATGATTTTAGGTGTTTTATGAGATTTTATTAATTTAAAGGAGTGAAAATAAGGGAAAAAGGGGAAAAAAGGGAAGGGGAAAAAATAAGAAAGGAAGAAAAGGTATTTAGGGAAAAAAGGGAAAGGGTAAAAGGGGGAAAAAGGAAATTAGGGGAAAAAGGGAAAGGGGGGAAATGAGAAAGGGAAACAGGGGGGGGATGGGAATTAAGGGAAAAAGGGAAAGGAAATAGAGGAAATTAGGGAAACAGGACTTCAGGTCAAAAAATAATCTTGCCAGTAAAATTTTCTGCCATTTTGCAAAACAATTTCCAAATTAGTAGACACCATGATAATTTTTTTTCTCTTTCTGAATTAATTTTAAAGAGTGAATTTTTATTAATGAGTGAGAGTGTAGGTGTTGAATGAGGCTTACCTGAGCGGACATCATCTGCGAGTGTGGGGGCGGGGGTGGCTGGGGGTGCTGGGGGGATGGCTGTGATGAGGGGTGTGTGGGCGGAGATGGTCGCATTGTCGAGTTGTTCTGCAACAAGCAACGCAAACGACAGACATGTAGCAACACTGCGATCCAGGCAACAGCTAGAGACTAGAAGGCTTTGGGATAGATGTGTTAAGTACCAATAAAAAAATAGGAAAGTTTTAGATTTTCACAAGGTCCATTCTAGCAAAAAGTTATCAAAAATTATCTTTCTCTCTCTCTCTTTCTCTCACTTCCTTTCTCTCTTTTTTTCCCATTCTTTCTTACAATTTATTCTTTCAGAAACATTCGAAAAAAATTTTTCCCAAAAATTCCCAGTTCTATTTACACATTATAATAATGTACTATTTATAAAAAAAAGTGGAAAATGGGAAAAACTAATCGAGATACTTTAGTGGGAAAAATGCAAAAGTAATAATTAAAATGCAAATTGATAAATATTTTATAAATTTTAGAGTTTAAAATTTTCTTTTTCTTTTACAATTTAAAAATGTGAATTAAAATTCCGAAAAGAAAATTTGAGAAAGATTTTCCCTTTTTTTTCGTTATTCGGTTATAAATATTTATCATTATCAGCGTAACAAGTGATTTTTTTTCTGAAATTATTGTTTTTTTAGTGAAAGAAAATTCATACCAATTGTTACGGATTCTAAGTCTACTGTCTAAGCAGGCTTTATATTTTTCTTAAGTGCGATGGAATTTCTATATTTCTCTTTAAGGAGGAATTCGACAGTCAGTCAAATTGAAAATTCAGTTTAAATTAAATTTATCTTTTGTTTTCTTTATACACTTTATATACACAAAAAAAGAAGTAAATTTTCAAAAAAAAAAAAAAACAAAAAGCAAATTTCAAAATTGCTTTTTTTTAATTAATTAAATAAATCAATTTTTGTGAATGTTTTTTTATAATTATATTTAAATAAAAGCAATTTTATAATAGCTTTTTGGAAAAAATTTAAATTCATTTGCAAAATTAAAACTTAACATAACAAAAAAATGTATTATTTAAAGAAAATCCATTTTTCAAAAAATAATTAATTTATAAATTGTCTCAGGGAAAATGTAAGCAATTTTTCCACTAATCTGAATGATTAAAAAAGAAAAAAAAATTGTAATCTTTATGAAGAGTGTATAAAGATTATAAAATAATGATAAATAAAATTAAAAATTTCAATATTTAGAAACAATAGAATTTTATTTCTGGAATTGTTTTTGAATCTCGGAAATATTTACAAATTTTATTCAATTTGCACATTTAACGACAAAACAATAAATGTTTTTTGCAAAATTTATCAATGAATAATTAATAAAACTTATTTATAAATTTTGTTAAAAATTTATTAATAATTAATATTAAACTAAAAATTAATAAACGAATTTATTATTAAAAATAAATTAAATAATAATTTAAAATATAACTAATCACAGTTTTCCTGAAATATTAGGAATTTTGTATATATTTTTTTTTATTTCAAAAAAAGAATTGAACTAACTTTTAATTTGACTGTCTGTTCAATTTCTTTCTTAACTGAGAAAAAGCTGAACTTTACAATAATTTCAAGAGGAAGAAATTTGAAATTCTACAATATAAAATGATCAAATTCATCACTTTACGAGTAATGCACTGATTAATTAATTAATAAACTATGAAAAAATTTTATAACAATTAATATTAATGAAAATAAAAATTAAACATTAATTTGGTAATAAATTAAATAGAAATAAAAAACAAAACTAAAATATGCCCAATATTAGGCAATTTTATTACACAGTTGCAAATAAACTATTTTCGAGAAGACAATTAAAAATAAATAATAATTTAATAATAGTTAAAATTAAAAACAATTTTTTAAATTCAAAAAGTAAAATTCAGCCGTAATAGTAATTTGTCATCATAATAGTGAATGGTGTGGAAAATCATACAAAATTCTCTTGCAATATTCAACCTTTTTTTGTCCCCATCATTTTTTTAAAACTAACACTATTCTAACACTTAGGAATTTTTTTTTTTTTTTTTTTTTTTTTTTTGACTTGTTTATGGACAGAACTTATACACCCGAAACAGTAATAGGTACACGTATGCACAAATAAGAGTTAGATACATAGCAGATAGAAAATAAGTACATAAAAACAGAATAGACAAGCATGACCTGAAAGGCTTCAAAAAATGTTTTTTTCAAGATGAATCCCTTTTCTTTTATTTTCTTTCTTTTTTTTTTTAATGCATGATGAAGATTTCCCTTTTCCACTGACTAACCCGCATTTATTCTTCAACAAATTAAAAAAAAAAATTCTTCTTCTTTCATTCGTCAATTACATCGTTTATACAAAACAAAAAAATAACCTTTTCAAAATGTGCATTTTCATAATTCTCAAATATTAAGTAATTTACATTTTCTTACTATCACTGAGTGATAAATTCAAATATATTTTTCTTTCTGAATTTATCAGAATAATTACAAAATTTTTAACTGTATGCAACACTTTTTTGGATTATTTTTTCTTAATGGTAAATTTTTTTAACAAATATAGAATATAAATATTTAATTATACTAAACTTAATTTCTTTTTTAAGAGGAAAATTTTCTTTTCAATTTTAAATCCTGTTTATATTTACAAGCAAATAAATAAATTTTAATTAATTTTATTTCGATTTTGAATTTTATTTCAATTTTCCATTAATTTTATTTCGACTTTAAATTAAATATTCTTTCAATTTTTAATTAATTTTTACTACCATTTGTAACTAATTTTATTTCAATTTTGAATTAATTTTACTTTATAACTATAATTAATTTTGTTTCCATTTTTAAACTAAGTTTATTTCAATTTTGAATTAATTTTGTTTCGACTTTGAATTAATTTTATTTCAATCTTTAACTAATTTTGTTTCAATCTTCAACTAATTTTGTGTCAATTTTTATTTAATTTTATTTTAAATTTTCAACTAAATTTGATTTTAACTTTTGACTGAATTTGAAAAAGTTTCATTACGTTTAAATTTAATTTTCGAAATGTATATGAGATTTATATACGTATGTAAAACTGATGGAGAAACGCGTGCATCAAAAGAGCTGAGAAAGGCATATTATGAATGCACATATGATGCAAAATGCATATAAAGAATATGGTATATATATATGGTGGCTTAGCAGCTACAGTTTTATGCACAATACTTTGAAAAAGTGAATCGACTATTAGTATAAAAAAAAAAATAAATAAATAACTCCTCTTTTCAATATTGACCATTAGAGAGAGATCATTTGAATTTTCTTTTTTTTCAAATATGGGAACAAAAAAGAAAAAAAAATTCACTTTTACAAATTTGTAGATATAATATAATATGTATATATAATGAACAAAAAAATTGATATGGACGTATGCAAAATGCTCGATATGAATTTTGGTTTTGATAAAATGTAAAATGAAAATTTTTTCTCAAAATGCAATTTTCGGGGAAACTTACGGAAAAGAATCCTGGTGGTATTGGACCGCCATGCATGCCTTCATTCGGTGGCATCTGTCCAAGTGGAGACGGTGCTGGTCCGGCATTCTTGAAAAAGGACAATTATCAAATTAACAAATTTTTCTATTTTCTTTTTTTTTAGTAGAAAAATTATTATTCTTTTAAATAATTAAAATATTAAAAATAATGACTAATTTTCTATTTTTTTCTTTTTATAGAAAAAGTATTTTTATTATTATTTTTTATTCGTTAAAAATCAAAATATTAAAATAATAAATATTTTTCTGTTTTTTCTTTTTGTAAACAAATGATTATTATCTTTTATTAGTATTTAACTAATTAAAATATTATAATTATTATTTTTCTATTTTCTATCTTTTTGGAGAAAAATAATTTTATTTTTACGTTTTATTAGTTAAAAATTAAAATAATAATTATTTTTCTGTGTTATTTCTTTTTGTAGAAAGATGATTATTTTTATTTTCTTTATTGTTTAATAATTAAAATATTAAAAATAATGATTAGTTGTCCAATAATTATTTTCCTATAAAATTACTTTTATTTAGGTAATAAATTATGAAACTAAAATTTTTGTTGAAAATTGTGTGAATTGAATGTCTTAAAATATACTTTTTGAGGAACAAAAAAATTATTTGCATTTTGTTAATTAATTTTTTTTACTTAAGCAACTACTATCAAATTGAATGATAAATTAAAAGAGGAATTCAAGTATAAATAAAATTAATACTTGTGTTCATATTACTTACATGGGCAATACCATTAACTCCATAACCACCACTATTCACGAATCCCTGGAGATAAACAAAATCAATAAAATAAATATTTTTTTTAATATTTAATTTTTAAATATTGTTTACTAATAATTAAATATTGTTAGAATCTTTGTAATAAATTATGCTATTCTATTAAAAGTTATAATATATTAATTTTTAAAATTAATTTTTTTAATTTTTAGAAAAAAGTAGATTATTTTATAAATAATTGCGTAATATTGTAGTTATTATTTTCGATTATTATAAAAAACTTGTGTATACGAACATAGTCGTGGAAAGCTTTGGCTTCACTGCTGTGTTCATTGGAATCTCGACGTTCAGGAGCTGCGCAATATAAATCCCAAAACACACTGAAAGTAAAAAATTTGCAAAAAAAAATTTAATATCACAGAGCAAAATTTAAAATTGAAGATAAAAAATAATGGGAGTAAATTTTTCCAACAGTTCACATACCACCACCAAGAATGTAAAAATCCCGGAGGTTCTCCTAGAGTTATGTTTTTCTCCCATCGAATCTGTAAATAAATTAGAAAGAAACTTTTTTAAAATTTTAACATTTTAATATTTTTTTAAAAATAGTTAATATCATTTTTAATTTATTATAAATACTATAATTAATTATTTATTTGTATTTATAGTTATTTTTTTTGTAATTAATTATTTGCTTTTATTTTTAATAACAAATTTATCATTAATTATTATTAATAATAAATTTATCATTAATTATTATTAATAATAAAATTATTATTAATTATTATTAATAATAATAAATATTATTTAATTTGAATTTCAAAATAAAAATTAATTACAAATTATAATTCAATAACAATTATATTAAACAATTCTCAGAACATAGAAAAATGATTTGTGAAAAAAATCAAAATATCAAGTTTTATGGTCGATAAAATAAAATGCGTTATATTTTAAGTCGCAAAGGAAGTTACCTCTGATAAGAAAGCTTGTGCTGCTTTTTGGGCTCCTACATGAAGTAAATATTCATAGACATATAAAGCTAATCTGAAAATAGAAAAAAAAGAGAATTAGTAAACCAAACATGACAATTTTCTAAATTGATAATTTATTCTTTTGCGAAAATTTCCTTATTTCGTTACATTTTTTTTCTACTAAACAATTTTTAAAAACTCTTTCTTCTCAATTCACCATTTTTTTTTAAATTTTTGCTAATTATAATGCAATATAAAAAATATTTTTACATAAAGTAAATATATATTTATAGTAAATATTTACCTGTAAATATTTTTTATATATTTTTACCAGTAAGAATTTATAGTAAATATTTACAAGTTAATTTACAATGAAGTATTTTTAATAAATATTTACAGGTAAATATTCATTAGTAAGTATTTATACTATTTACAAGTTAATTTACAAGTAAATTCGTATAATAAAAATTTTCATGCATATTTGCAAGTCAATATTTATAATAAATATTTTCAGGTAAATTTACAAGCAAATATTTCTAATAAATATTTACCAGTAAGTATTTATAGTAAATAGTTACCATTAAAAAGTAATTATAGTAAATATTTACAAGTAAATTTAAAATAAATATTTACAGGTAAATTTAAAATAAATATTTACAGGTAATTATTTATAATAATTACCATAATTTAATTAATTATTATTTATTAATAATAATTTACCTGAAAATATTTTCAGGTAAGTATTCATAGTAAATATTTACAGGTAAATATTTGCAAATATACAACATTATGACCAAATAACAATACAGTTATAACAGAAACTAAAACTTAATTTCCAACCAACGTGTAAAATATAGGAAGGAAGAATAAAATTTTCCAAGAAAACAATGTTTCAAGTTTCTAATGAGTTGACCTGAGATCCTCATTTACGAGACAATAGAAAATAATTAGACAAATGCTGACTAATGACAAAAGGAGAAATATATTGCCTGCACATTCTTCCAATAATGGGAGAAACGTTTCCAAAAATTTATTTCACCAAATAATAAATTTATAAATCGAATCTTTGTACTTTGTCAAAATATTACTATCGGCATAATTCACTCCTAAATTTTTTCCTTCCATAATGTTCATTCAGCATAAAAATATTTGACATTTCATAAAGTCTTTCTTTAACATAATTACTGATACAATGTTCTTTAACAAAGTTATTGACAATAATTTTCTCCAACATAATTATTTATTTAATAATTTATTTATTATTTTTTATTATTTATTTATTTAATTATTTAATTATTTATTTATTTCAAACTTATATGACTTTATCAAGCAAATCCTTTTTAAAAAAAAATGTTTTGTTAATTAGAGTTGACTACAAATTAAACTAAGCGAAAACTATTTAGAATTATGTTAAATAAATTTTGAAAAATAAATATTATATTGAAATTAATTTATGACAAATGATTATCATAAAAACTTGTACTAACTGTACAACTAATTGCAATAATAATTGTATTACTGATTATTGTAATCATACTAATTATACATTTTGTAAATTTTAATTATGCTAAACGAACGTTATAAAAATAATTGCATAAAATAATTAATTATACTTTAAGAACAACGTTAAATAAAAATTTTGCTAAACTAATTATAGATTATATGCTAAATAATTATTCTAAAAACTATGATCCATAAAAATTATGCTAAATTAATTACGGATTATGCTAAACCATGAATTATGCTAAATAATTATTTTAATTGAAAATCATGCTAAATATTTATTTTGATAACGAATTATGCCGAAAAATAATTATTTTAAAAAATACGAATAGAAAAATTATGCTAAATATTTATTTTAATAAAGAATTATGCCGAAAAAAAACTTAGTTTAAGAACTATGATAAATAAAAATTATGCTAAACTAGTTAAGGATTATGATTTTGTGGATAATATTTAAGGATTATATTATTATGATAAATAATTATTAAATATAATTAGGAATAGGTACGATAAAGAAACATTATTTTCAAATATATCTTTAAATAATTTATTAAATAATTGAAATAAAAAATTATGCCAAAGAAAAATTATATTTTACGGTAAATAGAAATTATGCTAAACTAATTACGGATTATGCTAAATAAATATTTGAATAAAAAATATTAAGTCAAACTATAAAATTCCTTTTAAAAACATTCGTATACCAAAAAGGACGCGGAAAACTATTGATTCAAATTCTAGAGATGTATATTATAAATTCTGCATCTGCATCATGTGCACTTTCCAATGAATAATTTCGATGCTTTCGGCAGAAATGTTGCTAATAATAATTCTCCGACTATTGTATCGTCCTTATTAAGGACGCCAATTATAATTTCCATTGTATTTATAATGATGATTTGCATTGCTCTCTGTTTGTAGTCATCCTTTCGCTTCCAAACTTTAATCGAAGAGACTAAAAATTGTTACCATAGTTTGCTAAACTTTATCTCTTCCTACGTAAACAATTTTCTTTTATATAATCTTCAAAAAAAATTATGAACTTAAAATTTCTTATCTACTTTCCAGCAACATGCAATATCAATATGTTGTACTCAGGGTGTCTATTATTTTCGTTCAACAAAATTCCTGGCTTTGTCCTAATTTTTCCCAGTTTTTTTTTCTATTCAAATTTAAATCTATTTGATTTCGAACATAAATAAATCTACAAATGGCTTTAAAAATTCATATTAAAGATTTTATGAATAATTAAATTCTTTTGACGAGTTTCTTTAAATTTTTTGAAAATAATGCTTTTTTAAATAATTTTAATTAAAAATTTGGAAAATAATTCAAATTAAACAAAGAATTTAAAAAATTTTTTTAAATAATCTTCTCTGTTCATAATTATAATTGAAAATTTTATTAATTCAATTTTATGAAAATGTTTTGATACTAATTTTAAATTTCTGCAAAAAATTTTAATATTTATAAAAGTAATTGAATTCTTCCAAAGAAAGTTACCTTATTTATGAAAATAATTAAATGTTTGCGTTGAATTTTATTAAAATTTCTGAAAATAATTGAATTATGGAGAATAATTTATTTATTTATAAAGATAATTGAAATTTTGAGGAAAATTTAAAAATAATTGAATTGTTTTTTAGAATTTTATGGAAATATATGAAAATAATTGAATTCTTGAGAAGAATTTTTTTTACAGTTTCTACAAATAATTGAATTCTTTCGACAAATTTTAATAAAATTTTTAAGAATAATTCCATATATTTTTCGAGGAATTTGATTAAAATTGTATTAAAAATAATTGAAATTTTGCAATGAATTTTACTATTTATGAAAATAATTGAATATATTGGGAAGAAATTTTAAAAAATAACATTATAATTACGGTGGCTAATTTGCCTTGATTATTTTCGAAAAATTTAAATAAAATTCTTTAAAAGAAGTTAATTATTTTTAATATAGAATGTACAGAAATTTCAACTAATTCAAAAATTTTCAATTATTTGTTTATAAATATTTAATTATCTTGAAAAAACAGAATTGAAAATTTTCAAAAATCTTATTTTTCAGAATTTTCAAAAAAACTTTGAGAAAAATTCAATTATATTAAAAAATTTTAATTTTGTATCTTTTTTTAAATTAACTTAACTAATAAAAATTTTATTATTAATCTTGGCACTTAGAATTTAATAATTTAACAAATTTAATAATTTTCAGTTCAATATCACAAAATTTCTGTTCGATAATTTTTTTTTAACATGATGGTCACAAGTTTCAGTTTATCAATTTCCCTGACAATTTACTGACATTAAAATTATTTTCCCTGACAAAATTTTTTATACAAATTTTAATAAGTCCAAAGAAGTACATTTTTATTTGATTTTTTGAAAAATAATTAAATCTTAAAAAATTATAAAAAAAAATTCTAAGAATTAAGTGGTTTTTAAAAATATTTTAATGTAATTTTTCGTAAACAATTGAATTTCTTAAAAGAGTTTTTGTATTATTTAAAAAAACTAGGATTAATTTTTTGATGAATTTTAATGAAATATTTTGAACATGATTTTTTTCTCCAAAATGTTAAAAATAATTCTAAAATGTTATTATTTTTTGTGTGTATTTGAATTTTCGGAAATATGTATAATTGAAAGTACTGAAAATACTTCATTTTAAAAAATTAGAAGTTCATTTTCATTTTTAAAGTTTTTTCATTAACATTTTTGATAATTCAAATATTTTCAAAATTTGCAAATTAAAATTCTTCAAAAGTTGATTCTAACAAAATTCTAACAAAATACTCGAAAAAAATTAATTATTTTCAATTAAATTTTACAAAATTTGAATTATTTAAAATATTTTTAATATATTTCGAAAATTTAAATAGAAAAATAATTGAAAAATAATTTTTCAAAGATTTGTTTATAGTTACTTTTCGAACTATAAAAATCGAAATGAGTTGCATTTTATACTAAAAAATATGATATTTTGTTGAAATATTTGAAAGAAAAGTCGAGAAAGTTTCAATTTTCAAAAATAAGTGGAAAAAATCTTAATTTTCTAAATGTCCCTGACAAACAATTTTTTTTCCTGACATTTCCCTGACTTTACTGTCAAAAATTTTGTTCTACTCTCATTTCCCTGACTTTACAGTCATGTGGTCATCCTATTTAATTTATTTACATACTAAATTTGAATCAGTGACTGATTTTTTACTATCAAATTAATTATTTTTAACTAATTTAAGTTTAGAGAACAGTATAAATATCTATAAAAATTGAAATAAAAAGAGATTTTTTAAAAACATATTAAAATAATAAAACTTTTTTTAATTTGGTGAAAAAATTCCCGGATTTCCAAATAAATACAGAAAGTAACTTTGTGTATTTTTTTGTGTTCCTAAATTAAGCTTTTATAATGTTTTTAATTTGTGTTGTAATCTTTATTTTCTATTTAAATATTTTCAAAATAAAAAATAGTCTTCAATGCTGGACGTCGACGTTCAGCATCGAAAACTATTTTTTTTTTTTTTAAGGTTTTTAGAGATGAAAAATATTAACAAAGTTTTAT